CTCGTAAAATTTCCTCCAATTGTTGGTATAGCTGTAATTCATCCTGTTTTTTAAAAAATAGCTTTATTGAGGTATAATTTACATATCGTAAAATTCATCCACTTTATCTTTATAGTTCATGAGTTTTTATAAATTTATACAGTTGTGTAACCATAGCCATAATCCACTTTTGGATACTCTGTCACCCCAAAAAGTTTCTTTGGGTCTATTTGCAGTCAGTCTCACTTCCATTGCCTAGCAGGCACAGTCTGCTTTCTGAGTGTCTATAGTTTTACCTTTTGTAGAAGTGTCATATAAATGAAGTCTCGCAGTATTTAGCCTTATTGTCTGGCATCTCTCACCTAGCAGGTTTTGAGGTTCATCCATGTTGTAGCATGTATCAGTAGTTACTTCGTTTTTATTGCTGACTAGTATTCCATTGTTTGGATATGTAACAGATTTTGTGTGTCCATTTACTAGTTGACATAAGACAAATGGCTTTTGTACCCTTTCTTCAGATAAAATCTTTCACAGAATCCTAATATCTTTGACTTGCTTTTTTAAAGACCAATGATAATATAACTGCTTTGATTCCTAAGGGAGAGGGAGCTCAGAGCTCTACATTTTTCACCCTTGAGATACCTATCTCCTTAGAACCCTAAGAATATAGTTGGAAAACCACCAATCTAAAGCTTACTCTAGAAATTTCCTACCCTATAAGAAAATATGTGTATAAAAACTATATCCAGATGAAATAAAATGAAGAAAAAAACTTGGAGTGTTAGGGAACACTTTTTTTTATAACCAGAATGTGTGATAGATGATACGTATACGTTTCCTAAGGGAATGATGATATTCCTCTTGTGTACAATTTGGCTTTTCTACAAGGACCTTGAGGGGAGTGCGTTATGCTTTCATGCTCACTCTGTGGAATGCTGTCTATTTTAGAGGACTTTTGTTTTTACCTTTCTAATTATTCATATTTTTGTTTGTTTTTCAATCAGGCAATTATTATAGTTTGCGTTCTCAGCATGAAAAAGCAGCCTTGTATTTCCAGAGAGCCTTGAAATTGAATCCCCGGTATCTTGGGGCCTGGACACTGATGGGACATGAGTACATGGAAATGAAGAACACATCTGCTGCTATTCAGGCTTACAGGTGAGCTCCTAGTTGCAGGGCTGGTGGAACAGATTGCCATGATACTAGGAGCCTCTGTTGAGCCTGCAGGTTGCTAATCTTGATTCTGCCCTTTTACTGGTCTATCTTCCATTTCTTAGACATGCCATTGAGGTTAATAAACGGGACTACAGAGCCTGGTATGGCCTTGGGCAGACCTATGAAATCCTAAAGATGCCATTTTACTGCCTTTATTATTACAGACGGGCCCACCAGCTTCGGTAAGTCTGGCTACTTGACAATGTGTTTGTTGTAGGAAGGGCTGCTACTTTTCTTTTGATGGCTACTAAGTGACTAGCTGGCGGGTGGTGTATGGAGTGCAGATGTACTGGACAAAGGGATGATTCATGTCCCAGATGGGAGAAAGCAAAATGGCCTGAGATTTCATCATGCCACTAAGAATGGTGTGCAATTTAAAACTTATGAATTGTTCATTTCTGGAATTTTCCACGAAATATTTAAGACTACAGTAACTGAAACTGTGGAAAGTGAAACCGTGAATAAGTGGAGGGGACCACTGTAGTAGTGGTGGTGGTTCCTCAAGGGAGGACTTTTAGCTCTCTATAGTCTTTGCTCAGACTGCTATTCCTGTTTTCTCTCAGGCCTAACGATTCTCGTATGCTGGTTGCTTTAGGAGAATGTTATGAGAAACTCAATCAACTCGTGGAAGCCAAAAAGGTATCTGAAATTGACTCCTAGAGAATTTGAATGGAAATTTGCTGTTTGGATGAAGAATTGGGCTATCTGTGCTCTTTAACTTTTCTTCATTCTGATATCTCTATGTAGGGAAGTCTTAAAAAGTACATAGGCTTAAAAGCAAAGCTGGGGTGACATCATCAGTGGGAGTGGCGTTATGTAGCCTGGACCTATCAGATTTAATTAAAATGCCTTGTATCCTGCAAATCTGAAGTTTTGGGAGGTTCGTAGAACCTGAGCCTTTAGGTGATTAGACTTGGCACAGGTGGCAATCATCAGATTGACTGGTTTATTTTTTTGACAGTGTTATTGGAGAGCTTATGCTGTGGGAGATGTGGAGAAAATGGCCCTGGTGAAACTGGCAAAGTGAGTGAATGGAGTAAAATGCTACTGATATTTTTTTCAAGATTTTATTTATTTATCTTCAGAGAGAGGGAAAAGGAGGGGGAAGAGAGGGAGAAAAACACCAATGTGTGGTTACCTCTCAAGTGCCTCCACTACTTGGGGACCTGGCCCATAACCCAGGCATGTGCCCTGACTGGGAATCAAACTGGCCACCCTTTGGTTCACTGTCCAGCACTCAATCCACTAAGCCCCACTAGTGAGGGCCGCTATTGATATTTCTGTTGACTTCTCTTCTATGGTGGGTCTTGTATGCTCTAGAGCCTCCTATTCTTCATTCTGCGTAAGTGTGGTGATGTAGCATGCTGTATGAGTACTTGTTTGGAAATTTAGCCATCTTGACTTGAGAGAATGCCATTACTCTTTGAAGGGGGAATTGCTTTTTTATTAGGCAAGGGATTGAGAATGAATTAAAATGAAATGAAATTTCCACATCAGAGCAATCTAGGAAAACTAAGTACTGATTTCCTAATAAGGACTAGGAAAATAAGAAATAACTCAGAAATGATAGACAAACAGGTTCTTAAATGCAGTTTTATTCCTGCCAATTCTTTTCTGGTTTCTTAGGGGGAAAAAATCTGAATCACTTGGTATCTTTTTAAAATCTTACTCAGGGTATTAACAGCAAGTTTTGCAAAGGTGTCTTACCCAGCTTAAGTATTTACTAACTCTCCCTCCATTACCAGTAGCAGAGTAACGATTTTCAGCTTTGCTAAAATAACCATCACATGTGGGCACTAAAACTATTCTGGGTCTCAGTTTTTTATTTATGTTAAAATTTGTACTTGTCTATGTATTGTTATTTTTTTTGGTCTTAATCATGTACTTTTACTTTTTATCACTAATTTGGCTTTGAGATATGATTCGTACTTAAAGACTGATTTCTTTCATAGGCTTCATGAACAGTTGACTGAGTCAGAACAAGCTGCCCAATGTTACATCAAATATATCCAAGATATCTATTCCTGCGGGGTATGTGTCATGAGCATGACAGCTCAGTTGCTGATCTTATTTATTCTTTTTATCAGTATTTAAAAAAATATTTTATTTATTTTTAGAGAGAGGGGATGGGAAGGAGGAAGAGTGGGAGAGAAACATCAATGTGTGGTTGCCTCTCATGTGTCCCCTACTGGGGACCTGGCCTGCAACCCAGGCATGTGCCCTGACTAGGAATTGAACCGGCAACTTGTTGCTTCACAGGCCCGTGCTCAACGCACTGAACTACACCAGCCAGGGTGTATCAGTATTTTTAATCGATCGATTTGTTGTTCCACTTACTTCTGCACTCATTAGTTGATTATTATATGTGCCCTGACTGGAAATTGAACCTGCAACCTTGGTGTATCGGGTCAGCTCTCTACTGGCTGAGCTACAGGGCCAGGGCTCTGACCTCAGTCATTCCTGTTTTCCCTATCTAGGAAATAGTGGAACACTTGGAGGAGAGCACGGCTTTCCGCTATCTGGCCCAGTACTATTTTAAGTGCAAGCTGTGGGATGAAGCTTCAACTTGTGCCCAAAAGTGCTGTGCATTCAATGATGTGAGTATTAGTTCTTTAATAAAGAATGGATTTTAGGCTCGAACATGCGATCTTTACCATGATCTGGGGGTGGAAATTAGTTAAGAGGAATAAAGGCTATCTCGATTTGTAGAATATATATATGTATTTTAGAACCCATTTTTCAGCATCCTTGGACATATTTTGAAATAGTTGCCTGACTTTGTTTCAGACACGGGAAGAAGGTAAGGCCTTGCTCCGGCAAATCCTGCAGCTTCGCAACCAGGGAGAGACGCCTTCCACCGAGATGCCTGCTCCCTTTTTCCTGCCTGCTTCACTCTCGGCTAACAACACTCCTACGCGCAGAGTTTCTCCACTCAACCTGTCTTCAGTCACACCGTAGTTGGCTACTTTCAAGCTAGCACATTGCAAAGACTCAAATTAAGCCTTACCTTCATGTAAAAAACATCCATGTCTGTTCTTCTAAGGACCTTAGTTCTTTTGATGTGTACAGATGGAAACTCCTTGGGCAGAGTTTACAGAATCACCTTCAGAGTAGACAGAAGAATCCTGGCAGGAAAAGATGTTGTCTTTTGCCAGTTAGAAGCACTTCTATCTTCCTTATGTTCAGAGAGTAGCTACAGATCTTGGCCTTCTTCCCAGTTTATCCCACCCCAACCCCCCAAATTCTCTAATAGCACTTTAGCCCCTGCAAGGCTACAGGAACAAAGTTTTAATGCTGCTGGGAGTGGATGGTTTCGTGAGAGGTAAGGAAAGGAGAAAAGTCTGTGATTCTACCCTCTGCTGACAGTAGGGTCACTGGATATCCTAGCAAGGTCAGGGCACCGAATAGACATGAGCTTGTGGTCCTTGGATTTGTTGAGCATGACTATTCTGGTGTCAGATGTTAGGTCTAAATGGAATATAGCTGTACATTTGTTCTTATTCTAGAGTGATTCTTCCAAAACAATTTTTGAAGTCTCCTAGAAGCTTTCAAATTGGAAGGAACTTAGAGTTGAATAAAAGAAGGGACAAAAGAAGTCTTATAGAGTTATCTATATCTTTAACTAAAGCAAAGTAAGGAGACAAGATTACAGATAATTTCGTGGACATTGGGGAATAAACTCATTTCAAGCTGGTCTGTTTTAATATTTTTGATGTAATTATCATTTTCCCCCCTCTACAACAAATTTTTTTTCAGACTTCAATAATTAGACAAGGTGAGGGAAAGCACTGTTAGTGTGCTCCTAGAGGGTTTCCAGCCTGTGCATGTGTGTTCAGTAGGGGTAATATGCCATGACTATGTATGCTGTAATGAATTCGTATAGTAGGTGATAGGTAGAGTTCAGGACCCAACCTTTCTATGTTCATGTTTTTATAACAAGTTTGTTACCCATTCACCTTCTATCACGCGACACTTCATTTATATTAAGGAAGGCTTAGAGTATCTAATATCCCATGGATTCATTTCTTACCAAGCTTTCTTAGGTATCTGCTGCCATTTCTGTGCAAGGTTTCCATGGCCCCGAATGATGGTTTTCAATTTTCCTGCCTTTTTGTAATTTAAATGATTTTGCTAAATTTGGCATTCAAATTAAAAAATGTAAAACAAATGTGAACGATATATTTAATACAGTTTTTGTGTATGCATAGAAACCATATAAGTAAAAAAGTATGAGATTACATAGGTGATTATATTACAAAAGGAGGGGGACCCAACTAGTGTCAGAATACTGCACTTTGTATCAAGTTCCAGGTATATGGTGAAGCTTAAAAGAGACCTATTTCTTAAGCTAAGCAGCTGACCCATTCAGGACACAGGCTGCTTTCTGTCTCACCACCTCAGTATTTTTTGCCAAAAGGCCCAGATTTGAGTAAAGGGGAGCGCCGGGAGCGCAGGATCCGAGCATAAGGGCTACAGTCTGTTGAACTTTGGTAGGTGGGTGTTCTGGGAAGTAAGTTTCGAAGAAATGGTTTCTTTCCTGGGGGCTGCTGGTTTGGTTGCTGGTTTTCCTGGTTGGCCCCAACACGCTTTTTGGTAGAAGCCTGGCCTTGGAGTTTCAGAACAGTGTGATACTGCTCTGCGATGCATGCTGCCTTCTTCCGAAGATCCAGTTTTACTAACATCATGTTATTTTGCAGCTCAGCCAGGGTCTGATCCTAAGGAAGATCAGTAAAGTTACAGTTATGTATATTAGAGAAACAAGAAGACAAGGCAGTATGTGCCATCTACTACTAGTTACAATTGTTCTTATAAAGATCATCCCTTTAGAGTCAGACCTTATAAGTGAATGAAGGTATTTTCTTTAAGACTCAAACAGCACTGGATATAAGGCCATTTTCTAACACGTAAGATGATAGAAGCTTGAATAAGGTTCCTTCACCTCTTCAGTTCCTAGGTATTAAAATTAAGTGCTGTGTTTAGTTTAAGATTTTTTAAAAATATTTTAATTACAATCAGGATGCATTTTCTGAAGACAAATGTCAGCTTAATTATTACTGTTTTGTCTTAGTGGTACATAAAATAATGGTTTCTTACAATCTAAGCATCTTGGATGAAATGTGGTACTATCTATCTCCTTAGGGTTGTTACAACTCAGAAAATTCCATAAATTAGTACAGTATTTGTACTTAGTGATTGGTTCTTTTTATTTTGCAAGGAAAAGAAATTCTCCTCACCATAAGAATAACCTAAAAATCTTTACATTCTTTACCTTTCTCCTTGGCTCCTCATTTCTCTTCTCACCTAACTCTGGAGTGGGCTGATGGGAGAAAAGGGGATATTTAGGCTGTCCTAACCTGTTTGATTAAGATGTCATCACAAGCAGTCAAGGCTTGGCGAAGTTTTCCTGCCCCAGTGCTGTGGCAACAGGCTCTTTCTGCTGACTGGAGAGATTCGCCAAGTTTCTGAAGCTCTGTCCTTAGCAACCTTATATTCTGAAAAAGGAGGAACAGTAACAAATTGTGGCCAAGATCTACCAGGATAATGATCTGGAGGAGAGAGATAGCCATTTGAAGAGAAGTAAAATTAGAAAGGCTAGTCAGCTGAATAAAGGAGCCATTCTCCAGCTCAGTACCCCAAAACATCTCATCCTTACATGCACCAGGGATATAATGTTGGAAATTGCCTTAGGTAAGAACTTTGGTAATAGAGAAAGGTAATTACCTTCTGGCCCTCCTCTAACTTCCTGTCCACATCAGTGGTGAAGGGCTTGGCTGAGGGTGGCGGTTCTAACATTTTCTGATACTTGTGCAGCTCTGAGGGAAAGAAACAATAAACTTCAATACATAGCTTTTCTAATCTTGGACTTATCTCTGAGTTAACAGTAGCTCGTAGCAAATATAAAAAGTCCCTGTGCATCTTAGAGTGAAAGACTGGGGGACAGCTCCAAGTTGGCACCAGAAGGTTGAAGTTCGAAAAGTTCTTCCTTGAGCCACTGTTAGGCGTCTTGTACTCTCTCCTTCCTTACCTTCAGTGGTGGCATTTAGCTCTGCTCTGCACTGGTCTAGTTTAGCTTTAACCTCCTGGAGCTGCTGGGTGGAGGCAGAAGCTGCCAACCTTTGGGACCGCCGTAAGGACAATTCAGACCCTGGTTGATGGGCCATTGGCTGTTGTCTGGCTTCCTGCAAGAGAGCTTCTAGCTCTTGAATCTTCTCATCCCGCTCCTTAGAGGAAAGCAGAGCACAGTTCCATCCACAGTCAGACAAATACTTCAGGAACAGACAGCTGAATAATGAACGAAACCTTCCCTGATGCTTAAACCTCAAAAGCCTGTTTGTTGGCATGTATACCATTTCCTGACCAACTAGATCTTTAATCAGTTCATCAGGCTGGGATAGCACTAAGGATATTAGAGAAAAGAGTTACGTATTCCCGCCCCTACCAGTTGTGGCTGGTTCAGGGCAATTCACCTGAAGCTCTTCTTGGTAAAAACTTGTCAGTGAGTCCTGGAGGATCTTTAGTTTCTCCTCATACATTTCCTCTAATAGTTCCTTTTGGGTATCCAAATGTTCACTGTCAGAAAGGGGAGAAAAAAGGAGTGAAGATTCTGAGTAGTGAGCATGGAGGATATCTTGAGGTATAACGCTCTGCTAGTCCCTACTTCCCACCACTTGTCCAGGTGACAAAGAGGTGATACCTGCACCACTGTTCACGCTGTTGCATCTGTTCCACCATCTCACTACAAATTTCATCACGGAGCTGCATCTCCAGCTGCAACTTTTCCTGCCGTTCTTTCAAAAGCAAAGCTTTCATGGCTTCTACCACCTGTAGGAGCTCCTACGGGGGACACACAGGTCAGAGGTCATCAGATGGCTATGCCCCCTAAAAGGCACAGGCCTCCCTAAAAGGCAGCATGGAAAATGTGTTAGCCATCAGGCTCTTGCATCAAAACTTTCTTGTATTCTCACCTCTTTGCCATACATGGAGATGTCAACTTCATTTTCAATGTCATCATCAAGGCCTGGGTCTGTCTTAGTTTCTGTCTCTAAGCTGGGAGATGCCTGCCGACTGTGTTCCTTGATGAATGAATGTAGTGATGGGAACCCTAGTTGTACAGGTGGTGCATGCACAAGCTAGCAGGGGAAAAAAAATCTTAATGGAATCCATTAGTAGTCTAGTAACTTTCTTAAATTAGGTACCATTCCAAAGGTACCAGCTTCTCACCTGGCTGGCAATAGCTGAGAATTTGGCCACATGAAGGGTTTCATCATAGGTAGATGCACAGGGATTCACATTGACAATCATGCAGGAGCGGCCTCGGCCTGTGAAGAAGCCTTGGAATACTCGAGTCAACTTGCTGTCGCGGAATGGAACCAGGTTCTGCTTTGACCTGCCAGGGAATCAGAAGAGTAGAGCTTTGGGCAGAACTCCAGCCCTTGGGCTGTTGTAGCACAATCCCCAGTGGTGACCTGAAGTTTTTTAGTAAATTGCAGAGCTCCAGGTCATCCTAGCCCATGACTTGCAGCCAAATGCTCACCGGTTCTGCTGGTTTTGGCGTAGGGCAGCAATACAGCGGCCCAAGGCATGCAAAGAAGTGTTAATATTTCCGGCTTCCTTCAACCGCTCACCACTCTTCTGATCTTTGCAGCGTTCTGAGCCAGCCAGATCACAGAGTGACAACCTTGAAAGATGGACAGGATTGGACATAAGGATCCCACATGTTATGAACCTTACAGCTCTTCATATAGTTTTGAGGAAAGCAAGGCCTATCAAGAATCTACACAAGGAAGGAGAATAAGAATCTAACAAGTTATTTGTCTGAGGACCTCCCTCACTCCCCTCCCCTTACTACAATATATGGCCAAGAAGTTTGGATTTCTAAATGGATAATCTTACTCGCTGATCTTGGGGACCATATCCCCTTCTCCTTGAAGGTGGAGGATCCGAATGGAGAAGATGCTGTGACTAGAAGTTAAAAAAAAGAGTCATTGTACATCTTCCATGACCAGATGGAGGACTAACATTTCCCAGAATGCAACCCACAATCCACTCACCTGCGGCTGGAGTTCTGGTTCAGGTGTGTGCTAGCAAAGCTCTGGTTTTTACGACCCACTTTCAGGAGTTTCCAGGCTTCCTCAGCATCCTGAACATGAATCCAATTGAGATCTGAGGCCGAGAAAAGGGCATACGTAAGATGGGAATACCTAACTTTTCCCGGTCTCTCCCCGAGTCTTCTAGGTTTCATGTCAGCCTCCTCGCTTCCCCATACCTTTCACATAGGGATTGCCGTTCTGATCCTCACACAGTCGCAGAACCTGCCTCTTGCGCTGCTGGCTAGGTGGTTCTAACAGGTCATAAAGCAGTTCATTGTAGATCTCAAAGAAGGAGACCCAGATGGAGAAGCGAATGTCCGCAGGGACACTGATGGGGGCAGTGTCTGGCTGTGCCCAGCGGTGATTTGTTTCTGGGGAAGAAACAAATGTACAGGGCATCAGTCCTAGAGCAGTCCATCTCCCCTTTGGCCTATGGGGTCCTTGGAAGTCAAAGCTCAGCTTACAACCTCTGGTCTCTACCCCTGGCAGTTGTTGGGAGTAGAGAGTGAGTTCTTACTATTTATTACTTGACACTAAGCTCAATCATACTCACCATCTAGCTGGCTACTGCTGGTAAACTGACTGGTGGAGGAGAGCCCAGCAATGCCACTGTCAAAGCTGGTGCTGGTACCAATCCGATTTTCAATGTAGACACTCCTCTTCAAGGAGGTAGACAGCTCCTCCTGGAGGGGCCCAGGGAGAAAATAAGTATTAAACTTCCCAGAGATTTGTCCCTCTATCCCCACCTCTGTGGACACCAACACTTCACCTCTTGGAGGCTTCCATTCAGCAGGGCCAGTTTCTTCATTCCCTCCTGCCTGATCTGCTTGCTGTCAAGCCAGATTACCTCGTTAGAGAGTAAGGGCTTCAGATCAGGTAAGGGATGAAGTTGGCCTTGGAGGCTATTGAAGATCAGAGCTAGGGACCGGGGCAGGATCCCTCCATCTTTGATAGTACCTGGAAGAATGTGAAAGATGGATACCTGACGCAAGTGCCTTTCTCCTCCAATCCAGAGCATCAAAAGGCAAAGATACTACCATTACAGGCCCATCAGCAATCCTGTGAGGCCTACTGCTTACCTTGAATCGTGTGGGTTTTCCCTGAATTGGTGACTCCATATGTATAGATAAGCCAGTTCTGTCCTTTGAGTACGTCTTTTACCATGTCCTTCACTGTCAGATTGAAGAAGGATGCTTGTCCCACTTCTGGCCCAAAGATCTAGAGACAGATCCAGTTGTCAGAGATCCCACTTGCTTTCTGTGCAGAGCTAGCCAATGCATCTCTCTGGGTGGTTGGCTACGAACAATATTAAAGCGACTTCTTCCTTCAGTGCTACCAGCTGCTCCCTAAACATTGAGGACTCAGCCACTCCCTGCCAGGCCATCTTTCATCCAGATTAACAAATCTCTAAGGAATGCTATCCATTAAGTCCAATGCTGCACACACAGTGGGGCAACATAATGGTCTCAAGCATGGTCTTTGGAAATGGATGGGTCTAGAGTCATCCTACCTCTACCACTGAATAATAGCTTCACTGAGCCACAGTATCCTTATCAGGAAAACAGGAAGACATTTATGATAATTATAATAGAGTTACTGGTAATTAATGTACATAAGCTACTTGACACATTGACTAGCTCATAATAAGGGACCCAAAGTTGTAGACATGCACATACAGGGTGAGGGGAAAAGTAGGTTTCCAGTTGTTCATATGGAAAATAATACACTAACTAATTAATAATAATACAAGAGTAAACTCTGTGTTTCATTACTCACAACTGAAATGTACTGAAAAGTACTTCACAACTGCAAGTACTTTTGCCCATCTGTATAAGAAACTCACCGTCAAGTAAAAAGCTTTCCCTCTAAAGAGAAAATAAAGTCGCCCCTACACATTGGTCTCTTGTTCACAGACCAGTTAAGTACCTCCATACCTGGGAAAAGGTGAACCTGTGAGTGGCTTGGCCAATTCCCCGCTCATTGCTCTTCTGGGCAAAGGAGTCTTTGGGTGCCTGTAGAACAAGCGTCTCCACATTCTCAATACGGATACAACCCTGAGAGGGAGGAAAACAGTTGACACAGAAGAAACATTCTTGAAAACCTCTCCTGTACTGCATCATTCCCACCTTGAATCCTCCTTCCTCAGAAACTCACCTGGTCCTCCTGCCGTTCCGACTCTGAAGGCAACAAGGGCCTAACCCTCAGGTATACTTTCACCTTCTCAGTACTATCCTCAGATGGAACCTGTGGTGGAATTCCAGGCCGTAATAAAGATTAATCTCAGCAGTTATCTGAGCAGATGGGCAAGCATAACACAGTTCCAGGGGATCATGCTAACAATACCCTCATTCTACCTCAAATGTCTCCCTGCAGCTACTCTTTGGTTCCGTAACCATTTCAACCCACATGGACTTTTTCAATATTTTATCACCTTCCCTGTCTCTTCAGCATCCTGTAAACCTGGCTTGCCAGACCCATGGTTAGATCTGGTTGACTGATATAAAAATTAGCATGTGATATTATAGTAAAGCACATTAGTTAAGCACCTTGGAGGCAGACACACCTGAATCTGAGTCCTAATTCCATCATTTAGTAACTATGAGACCTTGAACAAGTTCTTTAAATTCTCTTTGCCTCACTTTCCTCATCTCATTCTTTCAACAGATATTTATAGGTCTCCCTATTATGGCCCAAGAACTCTAAAAGGAATTATCAAGCCTCCTGCTCTGATAAAATTTTCTGTATAAAAGAGGAGACTTCTGGCACACTATCCCTCCTGGAAGCACACCTGTGCCTTTCCCTACACCCTCTACTTCCCTCACAGGCATACATCTCCTAAACTCTAAGGGACCCCATGTGACTTGCAACCAGGGGAGCAGTGGGCGGCATCAGCTCATCTCGGGCTAATCCCCTGAACCTGTCTCCAAGGCCGCCTTTTTTCTTGACTCTCCAGTGAGCAGACAGCCCTGCCTAGTCTCTCGTGTTGCTTCTTCTTTCATAGGCCCTTCCTTGTTTCACTGTCCCCAGCTTGAATAAATGTACTCTCAAAAAAAAAGAGAGAGAGAGAGACTTCTGAGTAGAGTCGTTCTCAGCCAGGACCACTGCCCTCCCAAGGAACAGTTAGCAGTGTCAGGAAAGGTTTCTAGGTTGTCACGAGTGGGAAGGTGCTACTAACCCTTAGTGGGTAAAGGCCAGAAATGCTGCTAAACACCTTATAATGCACAGGATGGACCCATACAACAAAGAATTGTCTGGTCCCAAATGTCAATGAGAAATTCCAGCCTCAGAGGAAGAAAGGCTCCATAAATGGAAGTTACTGTTGATATTAAAACTTGAATGTACATTAGACCTACTTAATGGCAGTATAATCTTGTGCAAATTCTTTAAGGCCTCTGGGCCTCAAGCTGAAGGAGAGATAACTATTATCCTTCCTTCATAGGATTAACTGATAGTATGCATACCACTCAATATTTCATTAATGCAACACAAACTATAGGTCTTATGAACACACAGCTCTACAGTTTTTTTTTTCACTTGTCATGCACTTAATTTTGAATTGATTTATTAGAATCTGAGGATTGCTGGTCTCTGACCTGTTACTCTGCAGGCTGAGGATACCAACTTTCCGCTCCCACCACTCTCCAACTCCTTTACCTGCTGCTTGTCCTCCAGGGAAGTGGAGATGACAGAGCAATCTGACAGCAGGTCCTTACGAACCACAGATCCCAAATCTGCAGCTGTGGACTCAAACATGGGGGAGACTACAACCTCCTCATCAGACAGCAAACCGGCTGGTGGAGAAAGGATACCTTGCGACATAACAGCCGAAGCAGCTTAGGTCTAAAAAAGACACAAAAGTGGGGAGGGAGGAGAACCTTAACGACAGAATGGGCTGCAGATTCTAGGTAAGAAACAATTTCCTTATCCCAAGACACTCTGGGCTCGCTGCCTGAATTCCTACTCCCCTTTTCCCTTCAACGGCCAGCAGAGGGGAAGGGGTTTAGAGGAGTTAATCATTGAAATCAATTTGAGGCATTTCCGACTGCTAACTAGAATGAACAGATATCCAACTTAAAACAAACAAACAAACAAACAAACAAACAAACGAACCAGAAGGTATCGCTGGAAGTAAGGTGCCTCACCACAGGTGGTGTCAATAGCCCTAGGAACCTTCTCCAACTTCACCCCCAGGCCCACAGTGAGGAGAGAGGTATTAAGGAAAAAGCGATGGCAGCAAGCTCCGCTTTCCGACAGCCTATTCCGCGAAAGAAAGAGCTGGTACCCCAGTGGGCTCCAGCACAGCCATATACTCACCCGAAGACGAGACACTTATTTCTCCTCTGGTACTGGTCGACTCAGATTCCCCCGGGCAAACCCCGACTCGGGCTTTTTACAGAGCACAACTCCGCCCGCGAGGAGCACTTCTTTTTACTGATACAATGTTTTAAACTACGCGCTGCATTCGTTCCGCCAATCAGATAGAGAAGCCTGCAGTTACCAATCAGCACAAGGAAAGGAGAAGGGGAGACGGTTAGTTCCGGTTTGACCTCCCCACTCTAATGTGGGTCCGGGTTACCAACTGTCGAGTTTAGAGTTGAGTTTTGTGGTATTTTCCCCGCTTATCCCTTTTTCTTGAACCCTAAACCTTTCTTTTCAAGGAACCCTAAAGGAAATACTTAGGCGTCCGCGGCCATCCTTATCCTTTAGCACGTTCCTTTCCAAGAGCAGAAAAGAGAACTGGTTTAGGGCGCTTGTTTGTCTTGGGGTGGAACACTACATTTCCCAGCAGGCATCGTGTCCAAACTACCAGACAACTTCCCAGAGTTCCCCGGGTTTCGGCCCCACCAAGCGGTCTTTCCTGGCGGGTTGAAGACTCCGGGGGCAAGATGGCGACCGGGACTGGCAGTAAGTGTTTGCGTTTGCTTTGCGTGGGAAGTCTTTGTAGACCCTAAACGTGTGGCAGCACCAGATTTCTGCCACACGTTTAGGGAGTTGGACCAATGATTTGACTGAAAGCCCAGGGTCAGGAGGGACTTTCACTCAACGGAGTTGTTGAAGGCCAGCGTGTGCGGGTCGTGAAGTGTAGGGTCTCGTATCCCAGGGAGGCCACGGAGATTTGAGAGAAGGCATTCAGCGAATCCTTGTATGTTTGAGAGCTGGGTAGGGTGAGCTATTAAGGTGGTTTAGAGACTCCGGCATGCAGACGAAGACCTGTTGTGAGCCGTGCCGAGTAGCCCGCTTCTCATGCCATTCGCGTTGTGACCAGCGTTTGTGGGCCCGTACTCCCTCTCACAGAGAAATGGGGTATTTTAACCGGGAGCTTTTTTTTTTTTTTTTTGCCACTGGGGAATTGCGTTTCTTGCATCTCAGCCATTTATCTCTGTTTCCTGGACTGAAAAAGTTTTAGGCCCGACAACTCAAGGGGGGAGGGGGTTACTGAAAGCAGTAAACAAGTTTATGCTAAGGAGGAGGCGGGGCAGTAGGGGGCGGTTGCTGCTCGGAATCCTGGGAAATTAGCCCGGGAGTTCAAATTGGGAGAAAGTGTGTATTTTTGTAACTGGACTTTTCAAGGGAACTGCTTTATCTTAATCTGACATTTTTATTTATTTATTTTATAAAGCAGTAGTTATGAGAAATAATATATTTTGCCGGATACTCAGTGCAATTTGCACGCAGTAAATAGATACCAACCAACCACCCAAAGGTGGTATTTTACGGTCTAGATGAAAATCAATATTTGGCGATAGGAGCTCAATTTGTCCTTACAATTTGGAATGTTTTGTATTAGGCTTTTAGTACAAAGCTCCTTTTGGGGCTTAGAACTAGTGACTCAGTGGTTGGTTGCTCTAAACTTTCATTCATTTCAGAACATAAGCTGTTGAGTACTGGCCCCACAGAACCATGGTCCATCAGAGAGAAACTGTGTTTAGCGTCTTCTGTCATGAGGAGTGGAGATCAAAATTGGTAAGGTATCTAGGATGTCTGATTTCTTGGTTCTTTGAAACTTTTTTTTTACTTTAGTGATTCCTATAATTAATTATAGGAATATAGTGACCTATGTGGTATTTCTTTTTAAATAAGCTTTATTGAAATATAATTTATATACCATTAAATTAACGCAGTGTGTTCACAGAATTCAGTATATTCACAGAGCTGTGCATCTATCAGTTATTCTATGATTTTTCTCTCCACCTCACCCCAGAACTCCTCTACTTTGTTTCTCTTCTCGACATTTCATGTAAATTAAATAATATTAACTTACGGTTTTCTGTGACTGGGTTTTGTCACTTAGCATAGTTTTAAAGTTCATAATGTATCATGTGTCAGTACTTTATTCCTTTTTGTGATTAACAGTATGTATGGGTATGCCACATTTTGTTTATTCATTAACTGATAAACATTTGGGTCATTTCCACTTTTTTGGACTACTGTAACTAATGCTTCTATGACCATTTGTGTACAGAGTTTTTAAAATATATTTTATTGATTATGCCATTACAGTTGTTCTATTTCCCCCCCTTCATTCCCCTCCACTCTGCACAACCCTCTCCCACCATTCCCCTGCCCTTTAGTTTATGACCACGTGTCTCAAGTTCTTTAGATTCTATATTTCCCATACTATTCTTACCCTCCCCCCTATTTCCTATCTACGGTCTATGCTACTTATTTCCTGTAGCTTCTCCCCCCTTCTCCTCCTCCCACTCCCCTGTTGCTAACCCTCCATGTGATCTTCATTTCTATGGTTCTGCTCCTGATCTAGCTGTCCTCGAGTTTGCTGTCCTCTCACTATTCATCTTTTTTGTCTTTTTCTTAGATAAGCTCCTTTAACATTTCATATAATAATGGCTTGGTGATGATGAACTCCTTGAACTTGATCTTATCTGAGAAGCACTATCTGTCCTTCCATTCTAAATGAAAGTTTTGCTGCATAGAGCAATCTTGGTTGTAGGTCTTTGGTTTTCATGACTTGGAATACTTTCCAGCCCCTTCTTGCCTGTGAGGTCTCTTTTTGAGAAATCCACTGACAGTCTGATGGGAACTCCTTTGTAGGTGACTGTCTCCTTATCTCTTGCTGCTTCTAAGATTCTCTCCTTCATTTTAATCCTGGGCACTGTAATTATGATGTGCCTTGGTGTGTTCCTTCTTGGGTCCAACTTCTTTGGGACTCTCTGAGCTTCCTGGATTTCCTAGAAGTCTATTTCCTTCTCCAGAATGGGGAAGTTCTCCTTTATTATTTGTTCAAATAAATTTTCCACTTGTGGCTGTTCCTCTTCCCCTTCTGGTACCCCTATAATTCAGATGTTGGGATGTTTAAAGATGTCTTGGAGGTTCCTGAGCCTCTCCTCATGGTTTTTTTTTTTTTTTTTTTTTTGGAATTCTTGTTTTTTCATATTTTCCTGTTTGGTCATTTTTTCTTCCTTCTGGTCCACTCCATTGATTTGAGTCCCAGTTTTGTTTCCATCACTATTGGTTTCCTGTGTATTTCCCTTCATTTCAATTAGGTTAGCCTTCATGTGTTCCTCTAATTTGTGACTAAAATCAACGAGTTCTGTGAGCATCGTGATCATCAGCGTTTTGAACTGTGCATATGATAGGTTGGCAATTTCTTGGTCACCTAGAGTTACCGGCCCCAGGGGGTTGAGTTCTTCTTGAGCCATATTTTGATCTGTTCGTGCCCATTATGTATGAGGAGAGGAGCCTTAGTTGTTCACCAGGGTGGGGTCACCCCAGTTGCTGGTTTGTGATGCTGTATGTGGGGGCGGGGTCAGAGAGGGAGCAATGGCGGTCCCCTCTACTCCTTCCCGCGGCTGGGGCCTGTGCAGTCTGTCTCACTGCTCGCTCCTTCGCTGGTTTATCTGCGCACAAATGGGTGGCTGCAGTCAGCCAGCTGCCTTGCGCCCTCACTGGGTCTGCCTGTCGCTATCTCACACCTGGGATTTACCCTTGGTTGCCTGGGTCAGGGGATCTTTTTTGCCCTACCGGCTCTGCTTCTGGCTCCGCCCCTCTTACCTTCTAGCTGAGTGGTTCATTGTTGTCAGACTCCCTTGTTGTTCAGTTTTCTGTGGTTTGGCTGTGTTTATTGTTTCTAAAACTTTGTTGTTTTTAGATTTGGTTGTGCGAGAAGGTAAAGTGTTTCCACCTGTGCCTCCATCTTGGCAGAAGTCAGAGTTTTGTGTTGACATTTGTTTTCAGTTCTCTTCAAAGAGTGAAATTGCTGGGTCATATGGTAACTATTTTAACTTTTTGAAGAACTGCAAAATGATTTTTAAACAGTCACCCCTCCATTTTATAATCCTACCAGCAATAAATGAGCCCAAATTTCTCTGCTTGTTCAGTAACACTTGCTGTCTTTTTTTCTAGAGAAAGGGGGAAATAGAGGGAGAGAAACACTGGCCTGCAACCCAGGCATGTGCCCTGATGGGGAAAGAAACCTGTGACCTTTCAGTTTGCAGGCTGGTGCTCAATCCACTGAGCCACATTAGCCAGGGCAGTGTCTTTTTTATTATAGCTGTACTAGAATATATGACGTGCTCTCTCGTGGTACTGATTTGTCCAGGCTATATATGAAAATAACTTTTCAAAGGGATATTCTGTGTAGCAGCTGTTCTTGCACCAAATCCCATATTTTGCTGTATATAATGTGCACCCACATCTTTGGCCCAAACTTTCAGGGGAAAAAATCTTTCGTTTTAATTTTTTAATTTAATTTTTTATTCACTTATATTTAGGCATTTGCTTTTGTGTTATAAAGAAACTTTAGCATTTATTTTTGGACATGTTATGGTACAAGAAATTTTATGTAACAAATAATTAAAAAACACAAGAACAGCCTGGCTGGTGTGACTCAGTGGATTGAGTACCAGCCTACAAACCAAAGGGTTGCTGGTTTCATTCCCAGTAGTAGCACATGCCTGAGTTGTGGTCCAGGTCCCCAGTAGGGGACTCACAAGAGGCAGTCATACATTGATGTTTCTCTCCTTTCTCCTTTTCTTCCCCTCTGTGTTAAAAAAAAAAAATTTTTTTTTTTTTTTTTTTTTAAGAAAACCCACAAGATCAGAAACAAGGTATTTTGGGTAATGGGTGTACCTGTGTATAATATGCATCTTCATTTTTCCCTCAATAATTTGGGCTACAAGTATGCAGTAAACTCAGCAAAATATGGTAAACCCCAAGGCAGAATGAGCCACATTAATTTGATAAATGTCATATTGAATTTACATATAATTCAGCCCTGACTGGTGTAGGTCAATGGGTTGCGTGTCATCCTGCAAACCAAAAGGTCCCCCAGTTTGATTCCTGATGAGGGCACATGCCTGGGTTATAAGCCAGGTCTCCATTAGGGACATGTGAGAGGCATCTGATTGATGTTTCTCTCACACATCAATGTTTCTCTCTGTTTCTCCCTCTCCTCCCCCTCTCTAAAAA